TTGTGGGGGGGGGGGGGGAGGGGTTGGAGTGAGAAAGTGCGGTGGTGTCGTGCATTATCTAAATTATGAATAAAATTAATCGGCGGTTCTGGTAAAGTGCAGGCGCGTGTTGTGCGGGGATGCCAGATGGCCTAGAGGGGCGAATCCGTTGATCCCGAGTGTACTGCAGCAGCGGCCCTTGTTTCAATGCCTCGGGGGCCAGATGCGGTCGATTCGAATAACTTCAGGCTGGCATGCATTTGGGTTTTGCTAGCTCATCCTGTAGTGCTGACCATGCCATTGTTCTCGGATGGTAACTCGATCCGCCCTCTCTTTATAACAGGTGCAACACGAGGCAAGGCGCAACACCCTTCGCCGCCAAGTACCTGCTCACCAAGGCACGTGGCCGCTCATCAAGCACCGTTTTGTACTGCTTCAACACCACAGTTGTGGCACCTCTTAACCCAGACGTGAGTTCATTAATGGATGATGGAGATATTTCTGAGGGTCATTTTTTCTTCTTCTGTGTATGCCTCTCTCAAACCGTGTGCCCATATAGCGGATCTGAGCTTTTGCTTCTGCGCCTTCTTTGGTGGATTGTTTTGTTTTGAGTGCAACTGGAATGTGTCTGTTGCTGGTTGGGGGCCTGTTGCCGGGGCGAACAAAACTCCTCCTAGGAAATGTTGCTGTTGCACCGTTGCTGTTGCACCGTTGCACCGTTGCTGTTGCTGCTGCTGCTACAGTTGTTAGTCTTTGACTCACCTCGCTGCAAGTAGCTGATCCGACATGTCGGCCCTTCCCCCCAACCCGTCTGCCTGTGCAGAGCGCCTGCGGTTCCACCACAACGCTGCTCAAGGCTGAGTTCTGGGCTGATGACGCGCAGCGTCGCGCCGTTGCGGGCATTGGTATCCAGCCCGCTGGCGGCCGCATGAGGTACCTGTCCCCGACCTGGGGTGCCGTGGGCGAGCAGACCCTGAAGGCCACGCCGCTGATGTGGGACCTGAACCAGGCCAACGGCGGCAAGATCTGCCTGGAGCTGGACAAGGCCACGGACCTGGGCTCGTTCTGCAACAACGTCCCGGGCTCACCGCCCACTTGCTGGTGAGTCTGACGGAGAACTGACGGAGAGCTGATGGCTAAGTGTTGTCGTGCTGTGTTGTCGTATTATGGGTTAGCAGTGGGCTTCCTCGTGCGGCAGTGCGGAGGGTGTAACGGCGGGAACCGGTAGGCCGGCGACCTTTTTGACCCTGACCGCCATTCCTGTTCGCCTCACCTGAACGAAATGATTTGCTGAAGGCGGCGACCTCAGCAGGTGCTGAATTGGCTCAGCTTTACCCTGTGTCACCCTGCGCCTTGGCGAGCCCCATGGTCGACGCACCTTCGGCGTGTTAGCAGCAAAGTGGTGTATGTGTTTAAAACATACATCCGTTTATTGCAGTTAACTGCACCTATGGTCTGTGAGGTGATGTTCTGGCGCGTCTGCAAGAGGACTGCTAAGCTTACGTATAGTTCACGTATTTCCCCCCAACCTGCTTGCCCTCGTGCAGGGTCAACTTCTTTGACGAGTCCAAGAACTGCTGCCCGCTCTTCAAGTCCGCTCTACTTTAGAGCATAGCGCGCGCATTCTTGATGATATAATCGGCGCAGCAGGAGGAAATGCTAGGGCAGGAGGAGCCTTGCTGTGCTGCTGTGCACGCTCGTGCGCTTTCTTGGCAGTATCGAGTTACGCAGCGTGTGCACAGTGCTTGTGATATATGCGTCAAAGATTTTGTTCGTGTGTAAGATCCAACAGGCAAGCGATTTTGTATATCGCACGTTGAGAGACATATACCGTGGGACCGGTGTACTCGCGCGTCGGAAGCTAAAAGCTTAAGTAATTGGGAGGTTGTGTTGGTAATCTTGACGTTTGTGGGTTACTCTCTATCTGCATCAGACTCTCAAATCTTGACACACGAGCGCTAGGCGGAGTTATGGAGGCGGGCGTGCATTTTATGGTTCTTGGATGACCTTTGTATGTGTATTATCTATGCACAGGAGCTTGTTGCCTGACAGGCTAGTGTATAAGTGTACGTCCTGTCTACCTGCCTGCTACACTAGGCATGGCTGCTCGGCCCACGCTCTGTGTGAAGCGCTCCCTCTGTGTGTGGCGGCGCGTCTAGCTTGCAGCTGCACGAAGCTGGAGGTCCGAAGTTGGTTAAAATGATTTATCTTTCTTCCGTTCACTATTCTCTCTGATTCTCGCAAATGGTCAAAGATGTATGTCCTGCATAAACACTCGGGTTCCTGCCCGACATGTAAGACGTCCCGTGCATACTGCATGCAGACAGGAGAATGTGATCGAAAAAGCTCAAATTTGCGTTTCCGGCATACGTTTGGAAACGCAAATACCAGCCAACACTTCAAGAACTGTAGGTAGCTACTAACCACACCATGAAGATTTTATAAAGCAATGTGTCGGATCGTCTATTCCGAGTTGGTGTAGCTTAGAGAATCACTGGTTGAAGCAAACGAGGACGTTTATCGTACGACTAAAATAGTTTGGTTGGGGGTCGAAGTTCGTATAATCCATCCCTCCTACATCAGCTCCAGTTAAATTGTAACCAGAAATATAATTCCATTATGATAAAGTATACAATTTATTACAACTGCGTCCAAATGCTCCAGCCAGTTCGCGTCCTGTAATTAGAGTAAGATAGCTGCCGTTCCACCCCACGAGAAGTTGGCTCAAAGTCGAGCGGGCTAGTACTGAGTTAAAGGCTACTTTGAGCTAACTCTATCGCATAGTCGATAGCTGAGTTATGCCAACTGTAAGCGTTCCGCAACTCCACGTTTTAACCGTCGGTGCGGCGGCATAGCTAACTAAGGCGGCAAATGTAAATTAAATGAATACCTAAGGGACTATCATACTGAATTAGTTAAATAGGATCACTGGAGCTCGTGAACTTACCGCCTGAGGCCTCTCATGTGGTAAGTTTACCATGCACCGAAACAAATTGAGTAGAGCATCGAAATTATCACAATCTGCATATATCTAATTGACCAATACATTCGATTACTATGCAGGATTGAGCTCGCGCGACCCTGAATACGGACTAACAATGGCGGGCCCTGTCAGCTTAAAAAAAGTGGCTACAACCGCGTGCTTCAAGTGCCCAAATTTTAGCCTCGCAGTTATCTTAAAAATCCACGCTAGCGGTCTAATGGAAGCCGGACCAACGCGTCGTCGATCCCTCGGCGCGATATCACATGTCCTCCACCTTTCATAAGAAATTCATGGTCCAAACTAGTTAAAATGCGGGTTCATATTCACGCGTAATCTTCTAGGGAGCGGCGGCCGAAATGTTGGGGCGGGTGGCCCAAGGGGTAACGTACTGTACCAACTGTACTGTACTGCCGCGTGGACAGCTGCAGCTGGATGGCCAAATTGCAAGTTTGCTTGATCGGAGGTGCTGGCCGGGTGTAGCCCCGGTTTCCTATATTCTTGGACCTCGTTGCTTCATTCCATGGCTGGCGTGGTAGTGGGCTATTCCACTGCTCCAACCTATAGGTGTGATGTGTGCTCCAAAGTACTTGTACAATTCACACATTGAGGGTTTGTACGGCTGTACGGCAGCCCGTGGCCCTGTAATGGTCCCCTAGACCCCGTCATTCCCATGAGTTATATGTAAGGGTGTGTCTCCTTAGGCCCCTGTAGATGATTTAGAAGTAAATAACCGGGTCTACAGCTGTAGACCTCAGTATCCCCTTCATGTACACTTGGTTCCCTTCGGTCCAGGGGTTTCCGCTACAGATCGGACCCTCCACGAGCTAGCCCTTCTTGTACAGGAGGATCTAGTTCTATGCTGTATTGACTCAACAGGGGCCCAGAGCCTCATCGATCCCTCCCTCCCCATTATCGTAGCAGGCACGCCACATTATTATCACTATCGCTGTGGAGCACTGCCAGTTTTGTGCGTCTTTCTTGCGCAGAGTCGTGTGGCGCTCTTGAATTCCAATCCTAATTCACATTTACCCATGAGTCCAGTCGGACTTGGGCTGTCTCCGCATGCCAGCAGGGTCTTGATCCACCAGCGGCAGCTTCCAGCTCCAGGCTTGGAAATTTTGCAAATGTGGCACAAGGGCCCTGCTGGGTTCTGCTGCCCTCATGCCACCCAAACATTAGCCAGCCTTCCTGAACAGTCTCTCCTTTTCCCGCTCCCGCAGTGTGTTCATTCCGTGATGGGGGGGACGGTTAAAAAGGGCCTTGGGTCAGAGGTTGAAGCGCCCAGCAGCAATAGTCGGACGCCACCGGCCTGTACGGCCCCGCCCTTTTTCCGGCTTCAAGGAAGCCGACACCCTTCTGGTCAGAGAAGTCTTCCCGGTAATAATATTTTCAATAGAAGGTCAGTTATCCGTATTGGCTTTTTCTTCTTATGCAAAAGATGCAAGTTGACAGCATTGACGGGCAGGTCGACCCGTCGACTTCTTGGCAAGAAGTATACTTTATGCACAATTAATTCGAAGAATATATATCCCACATTGTTGTCGGACGGAAGCGTGCAGCTGCAACCCACGTGGCGAGCCCATCGTCACCAAGCAGGTAACGCTTACAACAATGGGTCTGCTTGTTTTTTCAATTATGCGAGCGAATAAAGGTTATAAGCTATACCATTAAAAGCGTTTGGTGCTAGCTTTCGGGGAGTGGCTGGGCCTTAGCCTTCACCTTTCCCGCGGAAATCCTGAAATATCTGGCGAATCTGCATTTTCCCTTGGTTTAAATGGATATGATGGAGGCACCCAATTAGTACTTGCTATCAAAGGCGTTATGGCGCTCTTCGCCTCGCAGACCCGGGAGAAAGCTCACTGCTGGGCCGCCAACCATTTTGAAGATACAATGCACCTACACTAACTCTAAGTTTGAGGTGATCCCCTTGACTCCAACTGATGCTGATACCGTTGGTTAAAAGCCGCTGACTCCAACCGCACTCCTGAACTGCATAGCACACGGCAGTGGGTGCAACGCACGAACAACCGCCCAGCGGCCGCTCTATGACCGAGAGGCCAGAGGCCGCTCCTTATTTCCATGGCGACAGTGACACTGTGATGGTCAACTAGACAGGGCCTCCGAAGGGTACACGTCTTCACCCTCGAAAGAAACTAACGCGCCAATCCAGCGGCAGCAGTAGCAACACTGTGGGACAGGGTGCATTGGTAGCATTGGTAGTGACGGGCAGTTTCGCCCTCTGCTGAATCAACAGCGGTTTAATAGAGACAACGTGCTGCTGCTGCTGCTGCTGCAGTTTTATCCGGACTGGGAACACAGCAGCGCCATAAGGGTCCGATATGTACGACCAACTACCTCCCAATAATAACAGTTTAGGGCTGGACAAAAGCTTTTTTCATTAGCTGCAAGGATAGGAGCTGGATTGTGTATGTGTGTATGTGCAGTCGGTCGTTGGGATGGGCGTTAATATGGTTGACACCGCCGAACCTTTAATCGGTATCAAATGTTAATGCAGTGTACTCATCGGCTTACACCGATGTAGACCGATGCATATAGGGCCCGCCGCCGCCGCCACCATGAGGTCATGGGTGTGTGAATCACGTGTGAAGACTCAGATACGTGAGTGCGTTTCGCTGTCCTTCACGAGAAGCATTCGAGCAGCTTACAATAATGCTACACTTCTTAACTGCGTTCCTTCGCAATAACTAGATAGACCACCGCGACAGGATTAATGCAGCACGCAGACCATAACTACATCGCACCCTTCGCAAGGCCCTTAGGACAACGCAACATAAGCAAGTCCGGAAAACAATGTCGCAACAAATTTGATGTCCATTACTAGCTATGAACCTCGACCTGACAGTAATCATCCTAGAGAGTTTTTAGAGGCAAAGCGGCGCCACGAAGACCGGTAAACCAACATGACACGATTTTTCCTGATGCATCGGTCGGGCAGCCGGTGGCAGCGCAATCACCATCTGTCGAGCGACATACGCTCTATGGCACACCTACCCAGCGCATTGGCAAAAGCGAACAAATTTGAGCCCAGCACTCACTCACGTGGAGGCCGCGCGCAGCTGCTATACGACATCAAAAGTGCTTGCATCAACACGCCGCAACACGATTTTGACCAAACCCAACAATGCAAGCCAACCTGCTCAAAGGCTCTGAGGGCTTTTGAGGAATAGCACCTGCTAGGGCCCACTTGCTAGCATGGAAACCGTTACGCATGATGCCGCCTCCTCAAAGCCACCGTCACCCAGTTCAACTCATCCTGCAGCTGTCATAATTCCAGGCATCCCACTGCTCATGGTGTGAGGGAAGCCGCGAACAGTGGGCAGCACTGCTTGTCTGGCGAGAACAAGTTGATCCTGCAAGGACATGGCAGCAATCGAACCGGCAACAGAGCAGCAGCCAGAATGAGCAAGGACAGACCAAGCAAGGCTGCTCTCCGTGGGATTTGAACGGGAGCGCTCCATGGGAGAGCACATGCAGGTGGCCAGGGGCTTTGGGTTCCCCTCCTACGCATCCGTACGCGTTCCGAAGATTTCGCTGACAGTGGTAGCCCGGAGCTGAAAATTCAGTAAAGCCCACTTTCGCTGTACATGGCCGTTCGGGGCTGTGTGTTACTGTGTGATGCAGTATTTAACATGGCATGACATACATAGCACATGGAGAGTGTGGTGCTGTAATGCCCGCACCACACGGTGGAGCGCTAAAGGCTCCCCTTGCGCACAAGCAAAGGCCCCAGCCAACCACGAGCCCAGCACCCGCCTGCTAGCCTAAAACCGTAAAACCCCAAGGCTACCGCGGGAGTAATCATTATGTGCTATATATAGCCTATAGGTGCAGTGACGATACGCGGGGACACGCGCCATGGTGAAACGACATCTGTAAACCTGAAGCACAAATCAATTCGGGCTGCCGACCTTTCCAGAGCCCAACCTTGGACCTCAAAAGGCCCACAAGTCCCCCTGGCTGCCGCATAATAGCTCCTATAGAGGAGATTCGTTCCTCCTCAAGCACCGCAACAATTCACCCGCCCAGCATCCACCCCGGCGAATGGATGGATAATCCTCGAGATTAAAAAATATATATAAGCTTCAATGCTCGTTATGCTACTCCCTGCCTGCCCCATCCCGCCACGCACCAGCAAGTATCCTGGCCAGTGTTGCAGAAGGTCTTCAAGTTGGTGTCGTTGCTCAGCTCCATGCAGATCTTGGCACCGTCCGCCTGGGATGCGTCCCAGTTGAGTCCGGACACCTTCAGGGTTTGCTCTCCAGCTGAGCCCCAGCTCGGGGATAGGTACCTCAAGGGGCTGGAAGCACCGGCAGCCTTGAAGGCAAGGGCAAGAATCTTGCGGCGCTGAGTCGGGATGTCATTGCCCCAGAGCTCCGCCTTAAGCAAGGTTGTGGTGTTCCCGCACAAACCCTGGGGAGGCGAGGAGGGGAGGGGAGGAGGGCGGCTTTAGTTATCAGGAAGACAAGGTCGTATTAATATAAAATGCCGAGTGATAAAGAAGCTTGGTAGGTTGGAAGTAAGAGTAGTTTGCAGCAGAGTACTGGTGTGGGCAGACAGTGTGGTGCAGAAGACCAGCGGTATTGGTGAAATTCGAACTATTAGGCGGTGGTGTACCACATGCACGTGTCTAGGCAACATTTGCAACGCCGGTCAATTGTGCAGAAGTGGATCCATGCGGAACGTTCGTGTCGAGCGCCCAGTAAGGGCACGGCGCAAGGGCACCTCAAACACGTCAGACAGCGGCTCACGTTCGGGTTAAGGGGGGCCACGACTTGCAGAGTGAAGCAGTAGAGAGTGGAGTTGGTCCTGTTGCTCGGGCGACCCGGCTCCTGGGTGAGGGTAGGCAGCGCAGCGAAGCGGGTAGCGGCCGGCTTCGTTTCGCATCTGGGGGTAGAGGGTGGGGGCAGCATAATACACAGCGACAAAAAATACTGATCAAGTTCATGCGTCGCCCACTCTGGGCCGCTGCTTCCGTAACACAGGGAATCCTATTTGATGGTACACGGAAATGGCTTCATATGAAGTGGCTTGACTACAGTCCAGTTATCATATGAACTCGTGAAAAGGACACATCCTGAGGGGCAAGCCGATTTGGGAGGCCGACCTGCTTGCGGCCGATGCACGGCAGAGGCAAGAAAGGCAAGGCAGTATTGAGGTTTGTGTTCCGCCTTTGCCCCCAAACTGGGTGTTATCACATCCACATCCACATCCACATCCACATCAGGCGTTAAAGTGTTTACCCTCAGGCCTCAGGCGGGCCTCCATCCCCGCCTCAAGAACCAGATCCGAACATCCCCTAGAGAACGTCCTCTAGACACAAGGGCTACACCTCAGGGTTGGGTTGCACATATTGCTCAATAATATTTTCTTTCTCTGTAGGTAGGATAACACTAAAAACAATTAGATGATGAATTACAAAGGAATTAAATAAACGTTAGCTTTGTCCTCCATCGGCCCGCCTGTCCGCAGGCCCCCCTGTCTGCCTGCTAGCTGCTCGCCTGGGTTTGCACCTGCCTGCCTGTGCGCCTGCCTAACTACCTGTTTGCCTGTCTGCCTGCCTGTCTGTCCGTCTGTCTGTCTGCCTGACTACCTGCCTGTCTATGTGTCTGCAAATCTACCTGTATCAAATGCCAGCCGGTCTGCCTACCTGCCTGTCTACCTGCCTGTCTGTTTGCCTTCTGCCTGTCTATCTGTCTGTCCGTCTGCTTATCCGTTGCCTGCCTGCTGTTGGCCTGTCTAACTGTCCACTAGTCTCCCTGCCAGCCTGTCTGTCTGTCTGTCTGCCTGCCTGCTTAGCTGCCTGTCCCCCTGCCTGCCAATCAGCCTGCCTGCCTGCCTATCTGCATACGCGGCCAGCGGCACACCAGCATGAACCGAACCACGGCTAACCCAGCACGCGCACTACCACGCTTTACGGTACTCACTCGCACTTGGGGAAGTCAGGGTTGCCCGGCTTGCAAGTAGTCGTGGCGGTGCCCTCCAGGCAAGTGACAGAATTCGGGTCACCGTCGCCGCCAACGGTGACGGTAACCTGGTGGTTAGCGAAGTAAGCGGGGCAACCTGTGGAAGGTGCCAACAGGCTGAGCCAGAAGGTGAGGGCGTTGGAGATGTCCGCTTGCAAACCGGTGTATGGCGCGCCTGGGGGCAGAGAGAAGCTTGCGCAGACCTTGATCACGTTTCCAGAACAAGTTATGGTAGCTCCACTGTAGCCGATGCTGTACGACGTGACAATCATTTCAAGATCCCCAGCGATCTTATCAGCCACCGATTGGCAGATCGATGGGGTCAGTTGGAACGGGAACAGGAGGGGGGGCAGTGCTGTAATAGTCGCGTAGACGCACGTCTTGCAAGGCGGCGTGATCGGTACCGCAACCGGCTCAGGTGGCGGTGGTGGTGGCGGTGGTGGCGGCGCTGGTGGGCTAACCCTGGAGATGGGGCAGCAGTCTGGCTTGCTGTCGAAGAGGGCGAGTGAGCAGGTGCCCTTCGGTGCGCCAGCTGGCGGAGCGCAAAGATCCTCCAGCGTGGTGCAGCCCTTGCCCTTGTCGTTCTGGCCCAGGGTGATGCACAGCATGGCGCCATCGCTGTCCAGGCCCAGGTTCAGCTGAGTGAAGCGCAGGATCCTGGAGGTGTTGGGACCATCGGGTGGGGTGTCGAAGGCTGGGCCAACCTTGGTAGGAACGCCGTTGAGGGTAGCGTTGACAACGTTGCCGAAGACGTCGCACACCTGGTTGACATTGATCTATAGGGGGATGAAGGAGCATGGAAGGGCATGAGGGAAAGGGAAAGGTGGGAAGGAGGAGGGAGGTGACGTGGAAAAGGTGGATGTGCACCCGGGTAGAGATTCCACTTCCAGGTAAATACCGAACGCTGTGCACCAACAGAGTTTTTTGGGGTGAGTGTCTGGCGTCGCTGTTGATGTGGCAAAGGCATGCTAGGAGCGAGCTCCTGAGCCGTGCGGATGGATGGCTGGATGGATGGCAAGATAATAAGCTCCTTAGCGACAAATGTAGGGAGCACAATGCACGGCATCGGAAGGACACTTCTGAGCAATCGCAAACACAACGTAATTGACTTCCAGACGAATTCAGGCACCAAGCTGGGCCTGGCGCCGGAATGGACACGGACACGTTGAGGCGCGCTACCAAGCAAGGAAATGGAAACTGCCATCGACTGCGAAGGCCGGTAAATTAAGTAACACATTCTTCAGTCGGGTTTGGAAGTAAATAACATACCTCAATCTTCTTAATATCGGCCTTAGTAGCGCAGTACCCTGTGGCGCTCGGCGATGGCTTGGTCACCCTTAGGGTGAAGCAGTACTGGCCGGTGCGATTAGACTTCACAACGGGCTCCAAGCTGTATGGCGATGGAGACTTGATGCATTGGCAGTATGGGAAGTTCGGGTAGGCGACATTCTGCGCCTGCGCAACCCTGCGCGCAGCGAATGGAGGGCTCGAAAAGTTAACCGTGTGCTGCATCCGTGTACCCGTGTAACGAAGTGGCAATACCGAGTAATTTTATTAAGGTACGCTAACTTGTTACGGTGTGTAGCCGTTCCTAGCAAACTAGCGCCAGCTACCATTGAGCTCATTCTTGCAGCCCTTTCGAACATGCAAATCAGCAAGCTGTAAGGACTAAGCCATGATCATTACAACTTTCAATCTCATGCCCAAGCAGCCTGAAGCGGCGAAGACAGGGTTCGTCGGCACAAACTTACGCGAAAGCGGTCGCCACGCAAAGCGCCAACAAGGCTTTACGCATCATTTTTAGCAGTGTATCCAAATGAACACACTACTACCATATGTTGCCCACTGTGTTCCTTTAATTTGCTTGGTCGGCTTCGACAGTCGTACCTGTTTGCACGGCGCCCACCATTCCGAGAGTTAACAGTACGCTGCTAACAGAGCACAACCTAAAGGGATACATTAGCACGCGACCATTTCCAAATAAGGAGCGGCAGAAGGCACCTGCGGACCGTTATGGCGATGCCTTTAGAGTTCCTCGTAATGTCTGCATTGCTCTGTGGGATTATATCTTCCAGATGGTAAATGTTACAGTTGCAGACGTCCTCAGTCTTCCTGCGGCCTCAATGCCGTACATCCTCCATCAAGGATGCAACACAGGACTGTACATGTCAATTGACATCTCCGTAGTCTGCAAAATCAGATAGCACCAGAAACTGCAATCCCATTGCTGCTCTAGACTTGCTCTGCTTAAATGCACCTTTGAATGGCACACTTCGAGTTGCCACTTTACTTTTGTCTTTCAAAAACACGTCTTTATCACACACCATGATGATCGGTATTGCGGTAAGGGCAGATGCGTTGAGGTTCAAATTGTATAGCTGGTGCGAGCAGAGGTTTCCTCGACCCCAAAGGGTTTAGGCTGGTCCGATTGATGAATGTACCTAGGCTCTGCTATGCGAGCAGAGCATAGCCCTTGTCCATGTGGATGCAAGCTGCCTGAACGCGAAGTATGCTTGAAGGATTCAAAATCGACACTGCGCCGGGGTCACCGGCCTTCGGATAGCAAGCTGCCCGATAGCATAGACCGGTGACCGTTCAGTTGCAATTAGATTTACTTGACTGCACGCGAGTCTGCACGCGAGTCTGCAAGTCCTAGGTTGAGGATACATTGACCCTGCTAACGCTAAAGGTGCATAAGCAGGGCACCACGCTCCTTAAGCGTGTAGCCCATGGTTACCTCTGGGAGCCACAGGACCTTAAGAAAACTGTCAAATTGCTGAAGGTATTAAGGCTAACCACAGCCAAACAAAAAGCCGATGTGCTGCCATGTCGGGCCTTACGTGACGAGAGGGATATTCGACAACTTATGCGGGAACAAGAGCCTGTGTATAAGTTACCCATGCTGTATTGACAAGGTAATTATGGCGCGTAGAGAAATGCTTACTTTCCGATAGCGCTCAGGCTTCGCTACGTCCATGCCTGAGGTGCGCAAAGCCGGGCTAGATCCTATTGACACCCAGTGCTATATCAGGAGAACATTTTTGGCCGCTACACCAAGTCACACAAAATTAGAGAGTCTGCGAAAAATTAAATCGGTGCGCTTGGTGTGCGTGGGGACGCTGGCTTTGCAAGTCTTAGCTACGACGAGGGCAGTAATTTGCTTGACAGGCAGACTAGCCCTGGATCCATTATTTCATACATTCCTTTATTTCGCCTAACAGAATCTGTGTAGCACTCCAGCCCACGGGTATTATCATGGCCTTACGTTCGCAGAGGTAAGGAAATCTACCAGGATAATACCCAGGATTGAAATATTAGCCGCCGCAGTCAGGAAGAACGGGCCCTGTAGCTCCTCATTTATTGATTTCCTGGCGCAGTCCTGTCCTGTCCGTTCCTGTCCGTTCCTGGGGTGGCTTGTGCCTGCTGGTGCCACATTCTTCCCCCAGGCGAGCAGGTCCTCCTTCCTGAGGAAAAGCGCGCTATATGTTTTTTTATTTTACCTTCGTGATCGTCCACACGGCAAAAAAGAAGGCACACATCATGGCCATTCCCATCTGTTGGGGAGAGTATGCCTCCCAAGCAAGCTGCTCCACTGCCTGGAAGTAGAGCAGTTGCTGATTACTGGCGTAAAAAGTATAGCCCTCAAGGGTAGTGACCTTAGGGTATTGAGCCAGCTTCTCAAGCTAATCTGATACCTCTGCCAAGGAATGTATGTGCTAGGGAGATCGTAGGCCCTCATCAGTTGAAGTCCTGCTGGCGTAGAAGGGTGAACAGGCCAGTTCGGGCCTTTGCCGAGATAAACTTCCTGTTGGCAAGCACTTGCAGGGTATAGTCATGCTTAGCGGCCTCTGCACCGCTCAGTGTTATGACCGCCCCAAACAGAGCAGAGAGGTGCATGCCGCCTAATGTATGGCTGGACCGGATGGCCAGGTCTGCCAGGGAGCGGCACTTTGCATCCATTGAATTGTCCTGGCAAACAGCCCACGCGATGATATGGCGGTGGTTTCGGAAGCCATAATGGCGAATTGTATGGTGGTCAACGGTTACGACATGCAGGCGGTGGTGGCCCCTCCACGAGCAGTCATGACACGCCATGGCGGATTCGAACCCTGGGCACCGACATCGCGGGTGTTTGTGCACCTCGTCATCTGTAGCTGGTTTTTCCTGTGTGATTTAACATCTTGTTCGTAATCTACACCCGCCTGTGTCGTACATTGTATCACACTGTAGCGCCGGGACAGTTGCCTGGACACGCCGCCCGTAGTTACTTTTCACTTTACAGGTGGCAAATATGTGCTACTGTACGATGTGGCAGAAACGATGAAGAGGGGGCCCCAGCTTGAGTGGGCGCGCAACAGTGCAAGATGACCGATTGCAGCTCTGCACCGTACCGCTTAGCATTAAGCCCCTGGAGCCCTTCGTAAGGAAGACACACCTTGGGGAAAATGACTAGTTCAAGATATTAACGATTTGTGGTCCAACAACTTTACATGTGCTGAATCATGCAGGTGGGCTCGTCTGCGAACTGTGGACGAAGTTCGCATTCGCGCTACGGTGTTAACCGTACTTGCCAAGGCAGTGTGCCATCACATAGCTCAGCATAAATTGGTACATGTGAAGAATAATAATTTAATCGCTTCACAATTTCCTGGAGCGCCTTCAATAAGTTGTAAAGAGTGCGCTGGATCCTCAGTAGTTTCCGGCGAAAGGCGTTGTCGGCGTCTGTCGGTGAAACCTAATGCTGATGCCAAAATCTTAACTTTAGCTTGACATTTTAAGGGGTTAAACAATTGACGAGGAAACTGCTGCTGATCGTTTTAAGGCCTGCGGGCGCCCTCCCCGCGTTGTGGGAGTTCGATCCTGTTCGATAAATCCGGATTCAGCAGTTAATAACCTTCAGTTGGATTGGAGACAATAGCGGTATGTTATAGAGCAGAAAACATTGTCACCTTGTAGGTCGAATTTGAATGCATATAGCCGCAAAGCAACGCCAGTAAATTCGCGTAAACTAGTTGCACTTTATCACGCCGAGGCCAATGACCGACCACAGCAAGAAGTCGTTTTGACTACGTTTCTGCTCTAATTCATTATATCCCAAAAGTCTGTGAAGGCTCCGTGCGGATTGCATTGGAGAACGACTAGCAGGTTCTCCGCAGATCGCAAAGGGGCCTTTAACTGGAGCAGCTTTTTGGAATAGAAATTTCCTCGCCTGTAATATGTAATTTAACACGTTGATTTATTAGTGTCGCCTTTTGCCTGCTGTTGGGCAGGCCTGCTGGTCTGAAGCTCCATCGCTCAATTTCTATGCTTCGCCAATCCACATTATTGCAGGGTACACCGGTTTTCAATTGTATCATTTGTTAAATTTATTACCCATAAATCAAGAAAGCAATCAGCATGTGCCCTTGTTGCTGAGGCTGGCGATCCTGACGCTGCGATGCAACAAACCTGGTGGGGGCTGATAGCCGCAAAACTAGTCTCAAAACTAGTCTCAAACTCCATAAAATAGCGGCATTGTGTCCTGTGTTTCAGTTACAGCGCAGGCCTGAGGATTCAGCCATACGTTCGGCATGAAGTACAGGCGGCCATGGAGGTTTTATTCGGCCTGTACGCAAGCGAGCCGCTACTCTGATGCTGTAACGACGCAAGGCCCATCTGAGCGTCCAGGGTTACGCCTTTGCTGTGTTACAGATGCCTTTTCGCTTCCTTTCCACGCTCGGTATATGCCGTACCTGCCGTTCCGGGATCTCTTGGCTAGGGTTGGACCCTAAAGTAAACCCACCGATACACCCACCCCACATCCTGACCTCTTGCTGCAACTGAGAGCTAGCCTGCCTCTTCATTTGTGGCCCGTGCGCGTATTTGCATTGGGACATTAACTTAGGGTCATTCGATTAAACTCATCCTTAGGACCCTTCGGGCGTATCTCAGTAGGGTAGATGCCGTACGCTCAGCCATTGTGCATCCATCCTTGTTATGAGCATTCCGTTAATTACGGTTATGACTAACATATCCTCATTGCTATTACCTGTAACGCATAGGCGGAACAACTCCTGCCGTACTATCGTACAGCAGTACTCATTCAGGGGTATATCCTTCCGCCGATTAGTTCCGTCTAGGCGGACATTTGGTTGTAAGTCAAGAACCATCTAGCCGATTCAAACTGTTATAAACGTTTCCGCGATATTAATATTCGTATCTCGTTCCCACTCTTCGTTACAATTCTGGTGCTCGCCTGGACGTAAGCCCCGATACAAGTGCACAGCAACTCGACCCGTGATGGTGCTCCAATTCGCGGGCCGGGAAATTTGAGCTCCGGCTGAGTAGATTTATCCCCCGCCATTGCAATACTTTAACATTTCGGGAGACACCAGTCCCTACAACTTTTAGATTTCGCTGCTCGAGGGTTAAGCACCCGTCCGGCCAGACCAATATTCCCTCAAACCACCCGATCCAATGCTAAGGGGGGAACTGTTTGGATCGTTTTGTTCGTCAATTCCCAGATGTGGCACGGGCCTTGCGGTGTGTGCTGAAGTTGGCATCGGCTACGGCTATAGGAGAACGCACCGAGAGGATGTGTGGGATCCCTCACCTTCATGCTGGTGTCGGAAACCCTGTGATACCCTCCGAGGCGCAGCAATGAGAATTCGACCTCCCAGGGGACGAGGAGGAATGTAGATGGCCGGTGGTAGTCCAGCGTTGCATCTCCTGGCTGGCTCAGCCGTAAAGCTGTACGGCTCCTGCCATCCAGCCGTCCGGGATCCCCTATCCTGGAGCAACTGCTGCTTACTGAGATGAGTAAAGGTTGGGCATCCCACCTGGATTATAAAGGTGTTGTAGAAAGCGGGCAAGAGTGGGTGGAAGGTGGATACCGAGGAGTGCAGGGCCCTATATCAGTCGAATGGACGTTGAGGGCGTTAAGAGAGTCCAAGGGACATGCATGCAATGATGTCCTGGATAGTTCACGATGGTGAAAAGAGGAAACCAGCATCGTTGGGTACATTGGGTATTATACATGTAGTACATTTGGAGTTGGCGCAATGGACAGCGATGGAGAAAGACGTAATCAATTAGGGAAGAGGGACGGGTGCGCGAGTTGAGGGGGATGCCTGATTAGGAAACGCGTAACTCCACAACCCTGCCGGTGGAAAATAGGACTGGATCCGGGGATTTTGACCCCATAATTTTTTCATTATGGATTGATAGCAGATGGTAAGCCATGTTCGCACCGACCCGGAGCGGAGGGGAGGGAAGGGCGGCGATTACGGTGCATGCTCAATCCCCCATTAAATAACAGAGACGTGAGACAGTACCCCCAATTAGCATTACCTGGAAAATAAGGCAATATTCCAGGAGGTTTGGGTTGGATGCTTTCTTAATTTCACATGAACCAACTCGGGCCGAACCCGAATGTCTCCCAACACCTCGACATCAGTTCACATGATTTCTGGTGCTGTCTGCAAGCAGTATCGATTAATAGTGTATTAATTGACTGTATGTGAGCATCTCCTGTATTGATGTTCGAAACATGTGAGATCTAGCGGCGCTGACAACCGTTAGCAACGTGTTAACCGACAGGGCATAAAGCCAGGACCCATACACAGCGAAGCACGAGCTATAACTGTAATCCTGATTTAAATAGGTTCAAAGCAGAGAGTAGGCCTTGGCTTCTGTTTACAGACCCATAGATTTTGGTCTTATGTCAGACATCGAGACATGTGATTTTTACCGGCACTGCCCAAAGCTACTAAGATATCAGAGTGAAATAAGTTTCATCAAGATCATTAATTTTAAATGCAAGGAACTGCTTAATTTCTGCAATATCATGGTGGGCGTCGTACATCATTTTGCGGCTGCACGAGTGCATCTATCGATAAGGGAAAATGTTTCGCAGCAAGCAATTATAAATATCCGCTGCTTCTGTAACAATATGAAGCGCGGTGCATTGCTTTTACTTTTCGCCGTGGCTAGGACCGTGTGAGTGCATAAAATTGGGTATCGAATCCAAAAGATTAACATGACAGGCAAATACAAGGGGATAGGCATATATGCACTGATATTCAGCACTGGGGACAGATTCCGTCATTCTCGATCGCTCCGATTACCACTTCACCAGTTGGTTGATGCGTTCGTCAGTTACTAGGCTGCAGTTAGTCGCGCAAACCCAGAATATGTGATCCTTGCTTTCAGTAATCTTACAGCTAATATAACTTTCTCAATACTGATGACGCAACTTTACAGTGCCGTTGATTTCAGGACGGCTCCTCACGACCTCCCATGTCGCAGGGTCGCCGATGCCCAACAGTCTGGAGCGATCCCCACCTTTCCCTATTTCAACTGTGCAAGATGGATCTCATCTTATCGCATCTCGCCAAATTTCAAGGCGTATGGCGGCGGCACGTACTGCTTCACTTTGACCGTGAAATCCCCTCCTGGATGCACTTCCTACTGCTGCACGAAGTCGGACGTCAAGAAAATAGAGGTACACAAAATACTCAAATTATCAAGGCTTCTAAATATCCGAGCTACCCATGCAATATCCAGTCCCACTCCCCCTTCCCCTTCCCCTGAAGGGCATTTCGTTTTGGGTCTGGGGCTCGCTGTAATAACTACCTAACACCCCCCCCCATACCCCCAAACCCTATAATACTCCTCCAGCTTGGCGCCTTGACCCCAAAGATCTCAGAAAACACGCTCATCCCACAAAATCCCAAATCCTCTTTTCCCCCACCAAATCACCAACACGACGCTGGGCGGGCCCCAACCCCCTCCCCAGCAACCCCACAACAACAACAAAACAAGCCCCAACCGCCCCAACAATCCCCTCTCGCCCAATCCGCTCTCTCTCTCTCTCCAAAAATGCCGCAAAAGTTCAACGTCCGCAGGGAATGCAACGTCCTCGGCGCAGTGATTAAGTCCACCGTCAACGGCGCACCGACCAGGATCGGTCCCGCCTTCGAGTACCCGCCCGCTGGTCCCCCCGGCAGCGCCATCCTCCGCCTCACACAGCTGGGGCTGGGGCCCGGTGACGATGGCGCCCAGGTGTGTCTAACCTTGGCAGCCAATGCCCTGGGCCGCGGCTGCAGTACCCTTGAGGAGCTCTGTGTCCCCCCCCCTGGGAGGCCAGGGAGCACCTGCTCGGTAGCGCTGTTCGACTCCCAGCTAGACTGCTGCCCAATATCGACTGTAAGCGCGCCAATCCCACAGACGCCACCGCTGCTGGCTGGGCGGGACGGGCCGTTGCAGCCACCGCCGTCGGCACCACCCTCGCCGCCCCCTCCTTCTCCCCCACCTCCCTTGCCACCTCTGCCCTTGCCGCCGCCGCCGCCGCCTCCTCCCTC